AAGCAATTCCAAAAGCTCTCAAAATAATTTGAAATGAATGTTTCCAATGTAGGAAAAGAACCTAAAAGTGACATAAATTGCGAATGATGGCTGTTTTTTTTTTTTCCCCTCCAGTAATGGTCACCACAGCCAATTTAGTCCAGGAGCAGACATTTCAATGCAAAAAGAAGCCTCCAAAGAATTTCACCACAAGATCTACAGGTAAGTGTTGGTGTTAAAGTGGCTGCATTTACACCCTGAAAGCACAAAATTGACCTGCATTGAAGGCTTGCAATGGAAAAGCTTTTGCTTCCAAAAGAAATAGGCCTCTCTGAAAATGGGCTCTGGACAGACAAATCACAGATAGAGTTGTTTGGCCTCGGTACCAGTGGAATAATCTCACACTGACTATGAAGCACGGGGGTGTTCAAGTCAGGGGTTTGGGTTGTTTCATTCCCTGAAGCTTGCAATCATTGTTTCAACTATGAATTCTGCATCATATTAAAGAGTGCTTGAAGATAATACGAGGAAATCTGTCTGAGAGTTGAAGCTTAAGCGGAATTGGACCCTTCAACAGTACAGTGATCTAAAGCAAGCAAACAAATCCACCGAGGAATGGCTCAGAAAGAGGAAATGGGGTTTGGTGATTTGTTGTGGAGGGATTTGAAGCAGGGAGCACATGCAAGACAACCCTCAGATATTTCTCATGGAGGAATGGTCAGAACCTGAGCTAGCTGATGTCAGTGACTGGTGGACGGTCCTGGTTATTTCTGCTGAAGGGGTTTCTGAAGGTACACTGACTTGTCCCTTAGAAGACAATTACATCTATTGACATTTTTGTTCAATAAATTGATCCTTCAGGTTGTGTTTAAGTGCACTACCTTCATCTGCTGCATCAAAGACAGCAGAAATTGATGTAAAATTAGCTTATGAAACCAGCAGAAATCTTTGCATGCTTCATTCAACAGCTTGATATAATTCAAATCTTGTTTGTAAAAGACACATGGTGCAACCAACCTCTCATACCTCCAGTTGCAACACTGATGGAGCGTTTCCTAAGAGAAAGCCAGCAGCGTGTCACACTGCCCTGCTTTTCCCCTCTCTGCAGCACAGTCTGCTGACAAGGACTGTCAAATAACTTCCAGCATCTTCTCAAGTGCAACTGTGTGCTACATATCTGATCCTACAATCTCCCGAAATGTGTTTTCTTTTTTTTTTTTTTTTTTGTCTCTGAGGAATGTAAACTGACATATAGGACCGGGGATAATTCAGCTTGTGAGAAGACTGATCTGCGTCGAGAGATCCCCATCTGCCTTTGCACCAAATTCTCAGGAAATCTGTGGGCAACTGTCAGCCTGTGACAACTGTAACGCTGGGAGAGAGCCCAGGAGAAATCTGCAGCAGAACCTCTCAGTTCTCACCATGCAATCTCCACTCCAACTTCTAATTTCCTGAGCAAATGTTACTCACCAATACTTGGCCTCGGAGTGTGCCTGATAAAAAATAAAAAAAAAAAAAAGCCGGGGTGGGTTTGAAAATAATGTGAAAAAGCTGCGTCTAACTAGGCCACGGAAACTTTAACACCATCCACTTACAGGCCTTTACAGGAGGAATGATCATCACATGGTCCACCGAGAAAAGATCGGCTTCCTTCAGGAGGCTAGTAAAGATCTCTTGCTGTGTAAATGCAACAATTACAGTCGTCTTTACGGCGTGGTTATTCAGGATTATGCTTAATGTGCACAATGTCATGTTAAGGTTTAATAATAGATGACTTTACACAGGGTAGCATGTTTATTATTTAACCGTTACCAACCAGGATAATGTTTAATTAAATAAGACTAATGTGTTATAGAGTCATCAGAGTGGACAGCATTAGTGTGCACACACATCCCAAATACACTGATGAGTAAAGTGTGTTAATGTCAGAGAGTATAAAACATTCGTTATTGACAAATCTTTATTTTGGGCTGCAGGGTGGCGCAGTTAGTAGCACTGTTGCCTCGCAGCAAGAAGGTTGCCGGTTTGCGTCCCGGTGAGGACACCCGGGATCTTTCTGCGTGGAGTCTCCATGTTCTCCCCGTGCAGCGTGGGTTCTCTCCGGGTTCTCCGGCTTCCTCCCACACAGTCCAAAAACATGTTGAGGTTAATTGGTGATTCTAAATTGTCCGTAGGTGTGAATGTGAGTGTGCTTGGTTGTCTGTCTCTAAGTGTAGCCCTGTGATAGACTGGTGACCTGTCCAGGGTGTCCCCTGCCTTCACCCTGAGTCAGCTGGGATAGACTCCAGCCCCCCACGACCCTAGTGAGGATTAATCGGTGTATAGATAATGGATGGATGGATGGATGGATAGCCATAAATTCTACCTTTACAAGCAGTGATCATTGTGCATTATGGGGTAGGCTATGGCAGGAATGATGGCACACTGACCAACACACTAACAGTGTATTAATGACTCCATAGGATTTTGCAGCATCTGATGCAGCTCAAGACCATAAGATAGATCCACATTATGGAGCTGTTGTCTTCTATTTGCCCACCTGGACGTGATTATTGGCAAAAAAAAAACAAAACAGTAGTTTCACCCAAATTTCAAAGTAAAATATGTATATATATATATACACAGTGGTAATGCATCTGTCATGACCCCCCAGCCCTCTCCTGTCTCCCTCTCCCTGCCAGTACTCATCAGCTCAATCAGTGACAGCTGCTGTAATTGACTCACCTGGATCTAATCACCACAGCTCCATAAAACCCGGCTCATCCCTCCCCTCTCTGCCAGATCATTGACTCTGTTACCTGTTTGCTTGCCACTGCCACTCGGCCACCACGCCATTAAAAAATCTCCACACTGCCTTGGATTCTCCAGCTGCTTCCTGGTTTCCCGTCCACCATCCAATCCTGCCAAGCCCTCGTCACCCCGACCTGTCCTCCCTCCCCACAGCCGGTCTGC